CCATCCTCAAGAATCGTAACACTACTCGGACACAGAAATCATGCTAAACACTATCAACCCAGAATTCTTCAAAACATGCATAATAATAAAGATGACAGGAAGATAAACAATAATGATTCAAGAACTAAGTGCAAAATCTTAATAACATCAAAGAAATCTGAATTACAATTCTCTGGATTGTTTGGTGGCTAACAACAAAAACCTAAGGGTAAAAACTCGATCCCTCGGAAATGCCAAAAGAGACCTATTTATAGCAATGTTTGGGCAAAACATAAAACATAAAACGACAAAGTTAAAAGCGTTTTAAAATTTGTAGTGACCCTGTTGGTCGAGTGAGCGTATCGAGTAAAACATAAATTCTTCTCTACATCATTACAGTTTACTCGACCATGTATCTCGAGTGAGTGTGTCGAGTGATCTTTGAAATCATCTGCTACTCCTTTGCTTTGCTCGATCGTGTCACTCGAGTGTGTGCATCGAGTGACAGGTGATTCTGCTTCACTTCCCTTCTGCTCACTCGATCAGCTACTCGATCGTGGACGTCTGCTACTCACTCGATCGTTGATGTATTTAAAATGTATCTCTACTGCTTACTCGATCATCCTACTCGATCGTGCGCCTGTCGAGTGATACTTGTTCCTCTACTTTGCTCTGCATGTCTGCTTAGTACCTGAAACACTCCAATATGCAAAATGTATGCAAGACATGCATGATATGCACAAAACCTACCTAATTATGCAAAACATGCAGAAAGTAATCAATATGATGCGAATCAACAAGTCAATGATGCTGAAAAGATGATGAATACATGCTCAAAAAATGATGAAATACACACTTATCAGCTTTACTACTTATCGATTTCACCTTCTTGGCAACGTAGATCCAAGAGAAGAGAGTGAAAAGAGAGATGATGATGCCGCCATTGAATCGGTGGTGAAGTAAGGCAAAACGCCGTTAGGGTTGTTGGGAAAGAGAAGAGAAAGAGTTAAGAAAAGGATGAAGAGAGAAAGAGAATTTTTTTTATGTTGTTGGTTATTTATACATAATTTTATTTCTAAATAATAATGTCAAAAAGAAAAAATTTGGTTAAATGTTGGCGGTTCAGGAAATTGTTTTGCTAAATTTTGGCGGTATTAGGTGAATTTAATTTATCATTCTGCTATTATATGGCTTAACGTTTCTAAAATGCTATAACATAGTAATAAAAATCAGAGTAACATCTTTAATAACATTTCCAAAATCCGTGCTATCATATAATGCTATCAATACACACTTTTTTTATAGTGACTCATTGATCAAGGGCGTATTTCCAGGGCGAGAGGTACAATTTGATGACATCCAACATTGCAGAGTCTTTAAAAAAAGCTTTGGGGAAGGATAGGGGGTCAACAATTGTGGAGTTACTGAAATTTATAAGAGCAAATATTATCCCTTTGGTTTAGTACTAGAAGGAAAAAAGCTGCAAGACACATTGGTTTTACAACTCCTTAGGTTGACAAACAGATGACGAAGAATCTGTTGCTGTGAAAGGGAGCATGATAGGTAAAGTTTCAAGCTGGATTTATGATGTTGTAGGAATTCTTAACGGAAAGCATCATATTTTACTGGACATGAAGTAGTGTTAATGTATGCAGTATAATAGGGTTAAAATACCTTGCGGACACACATTATTGGCAGCAAACAACCAAGGCATCCCTTTCTCCTCATTGGTGGGCGATTTTTACAAGACAGAGGTATGGAGAGCAACCTATGAAGGAGTGATAAATCCTAAACTGAGTGAGGTAAACATACCTGCTGAAATAAGTCAGCATACCTTGTACCCGTCAAAAGCTCGGAGACCATCTGGGAGTCCGCCAAAGCAAAGGATTCCATCTACTAGAGAGATTGTTGTAAGTTTTGGTGTTTATGTTCTTTTTTTAATGTATGTTTAATTTAGTTTAGTTTAGTTTATTGGTAATAATGATTATTGTAACAAATCTACTTTATTTGGATCCAGAAAAATGGGACACAGAATACGAAAGTTAATATGTGTGGACAATGCAAAGAGAGTGGACACAACATGGCTAGTTGCTCTAACCCATTGCCATGATGGTGGCGGCAGACGTTGTGGGAGGGAGTATTGTTTTGTAAAATCATGAGGATGGTTGATTATTTGTAGAAGCATCTTAGCTTTGTAGATTCAATATTTTTAGTGGTTTTTTCCACATTTTTTTTTGTAAAATAGGGGATAAGAACTATCCAATGCGTCATGACTGTTTGGATACTTCAACGGTAGCTAAGTAAGTGTTATGTGGGTTGTAATTGTTTGGGTGTCCACGAGGAACGCTTATCTATTTTTAATTGTTGAAGCTTATTGAAAACTTTCTTTGTCTGAAAATTTTGTTAATTTGTGTGTTTGTTGTGTTTAAGCTATGTTATTTGAAACAGAAAAATGGAACTGGGAAACTAAATAGGTGTGGTAGTTACTCTAACATTGTCATGATAAGTATATTGACTCTACTTGTGTTTACTTTCAAAAATATCTGTTGGAGACCCAACCACCTTGGATGGAGATTTGTTGAGAGTGAGGGGGGGGGGGTGTCCGAGCAGTCACATCGGTTGGAGCAACAATGCTTTCATTGTTTGGATTCTTTAGCTGGGTGACGCATTCAGCGTGCTTTTTTAACCACACAACGGGGCGAATATGTAGTTTCCTTGATGATATGGTCTTCGAAAAAGATTCTCTGCCCCAAGGGAATTCTAGAAAAGAGTCAATGTCATGAAGCATCCAACATACCTCGATCGGGGTTGGCCTATGAGTCTGGCTGTAAACGATGAGGACGCCATCAACAATGAGCAGCAGTGCGAGACGAAGCTTCTTGACTGGATCCGTGGTGGCAGGGTCCTCGAAAATTTAGCAAGATCCGTTAAAGTGGACTTCCGATCTGCTCCAGTCAACTCATATCAATCATCTGCATCGTCGTGGTAAGATTTCGAGTCGTAATCTTCAGGGAATTCCCTCGATGGCAACCCAATTATGGCACCAAATTTGACCAAAAAAAATCTCATAGGGTATCCACCAAACACAGTCCATAGTTCATATTTTATTGGATATTAAATTGCCTACAAAGGAGGGCATTGATTAATTTGCACGATATGGGACACTTACTGATCTGCAGCCTAATAGTTCCCCTAAAAACATTGTAGATAACAGTAAGGATGTCTGCTTGGGAATAAACATTAAGCATGGCGTCGGGCTGACGCTCAGTGACGAATATACAAGGAGGGAGAAGCTTGTCCCAGTCTGCAGAATCTTCAGAAGATGGATAACAGTGCGGGGTTTGGTTGGAAGACGAAGGTGCGTTGGGACAAGGTTTAAAAAACCTTGTTATGCAACGGTTTGTGGCCGCCGAGAAGTCGATGCATTGTGGAAACAAAGATTTGGCAGAGTTGTGATTGAAGGCGCCGGGAAGTCGATTCGGTTGGCGAGGGAGATTTCTGACGATTGCACAATTACGGCGCCTTACGACTCGAAGTGCGGGGTTATCATTTTGGTTGGCGAGGGAGATTAGTGACGATTGCACAATTACGGCAGCGGTGTCGAGATAGGGTATAGACCCGACATGGTACTTTAACGTTGGGTAGCTAAGGGTCTAGAACAAGGGGCGGGAACGGAATACGACAAGAGGATTACGGTAAAATAAAGAAACTGGGATGGCCGCGGTGGTCGGTTAACGGCCGCCGGAAAGTTGGTGATTGGGAGAGTGAAGGAAAATTAGGGTTTGAAGTGAAAAATTAGAATTGCTTTTTCTTTTATATTTTACAAGAGCGGAAATGAAAAGAATAATAAATGAAGAGTTAGAAAAGGAAAAAAAAAACTAAAAACGAATACAGAAGAAATTGGTTGCAAACTGTTGAGGATAAATAAGTCATTTAACACTATGAAAGTATACCCATAGCAATAAAATATGTGTCGTGTGATAAAGAGTTGTAAAAGTAGGTCTTGATGCAAATAATCAAAATAAATTGAAAACAAGCACAAAACATAGTATAAGATCTATATTTTTAACATACCTTTTTGAAAATAAAAAATTTCAAAATTACCCTTGTTTTAAATTACATTAAAAAGCACTAATTTGAAATTTATCCAAAAATGTGTGTAAATTTATAAAAAAATACAAATTTTTTATTTATATGTGTGTGAAGTTATATATAGATTTTATAAATACCTTATAAATAAATGTTAAAATTTTTAAAAAAATATATTAAAAACTTTGTAAATCATGTTTAACCTTGTAAATCATGTTTAATATTTTTAAGAACTTTATAACTATTTCGATCGAGTCTTTAATTAGTAGTTAGTACAGTAAAACCTCTATAAATTAATACTCGATAAATTAATAATCTTTATAAATTAATAAATTTCTCCGGTCTAAGTTGGGACCAGTGTAATTTTATACACATTTCGATAAAATAATAAGATAATAACTTTTTTGAAAATCCTTTATAAATTTATGGTCCCATCAATATTATAAATTAATAATTAGGTAAAATTTCAAAATATATGTATATATAGATACATTAGTTCTTGTTAGAATTTATTTCTAATATTTTACTATATCAAAAATTGTTAGCATTCTATTTCAATATACATAATAATTATGTTTTTCTTTGTAACTAATTATATAAAATACTAATTATCATAATTAAATAGCTTTTTGAAAAAACTTTCCAAATTAGGAAAATCTCTCTATAAATTAATAATTTATCGATAAATTAAAACATCTATAAATTAATAGATTTTCATGGTTCCAACATTATTAATTTATAGAGGTTTTACTGTATATAGAATTATATTATATACCATATAAAATTTTATTATTTTTTAAATTTGAATAAGTATTTTTAAAATAGATAAATAATAATAATATTTTTAAAAATAGAGACATTAATTTCTTTTGAAAAAAATATTAATAAAGATGAAAGGTATAATTTGTACTAAGAAATTAAGGAAGGCGACAAGAAGTTCCTAGAATCCTCTGGCGTTTCTTCGCTAGTCTCTCTCTTTTTCCTTTTTCTTGGATTCTCTCCAGTTTCAGATGCATTACGCCATGAACGGTGATGATCCCGAGACGGAGATGATGGATACAGACTCCTCCGAGACTTTCATCCTCAACAAACCCAACACCGCCGGAGATTTTCTCTCCGCTGCTCGGAGACTCGTCGATCAAGGCGAGCCTTCACAAGCTCTCCAAGCGGTATTTTCCATTTCCCCTTACCATTTCCCGAATTTTGCCCTATTTTTTAACCTTTGAAGCATTCTTCTTCTTCAGATTGTTCTATGCGTTTTTGGTTTTGCTTTGGAGCTGTGTCACCTTTGATTTTTGTTTTTGGAATTTGATTAGGGTTCGTTGGAATTGGCTTAAGATTTTTCGATTTTTAAGATTGCAAGATCGAATTAGGTTGTTTTAGTTTATGTTTTGGAGACTTTTCTTGTGTTTGATGTATCAGAATTGACATATTTTGGCTTCATTGCTGCTTAATGATCGTTTAGTTACCATTGTAAAGCTTATATATGTTTGATCAGAGATACACAAGCATTCCCTTCATCACATGGTTAAAAGTCTCTTCTATGGTGAAGTGAATAAAGAAGTACTTTACTGGTTTGGATTACTCAAAATTTAGTTGTTTGAATTAGTTTAGATTCTCGAATCAGTAGCTGATTTTTTTTTGTTTTGTTTGCGTAAGGATATGAATAACTAGTGTTTGGAGGCTTTTTGTTGTGTTTTATGAATCAAAATGATAGATTTGGCTTATTTTTTGGATGATTTTATCCCTATTGTCATTAGCTACCGTTATAAATTTGGATTCAATAGCTCGAATGTGTATTAAGTTTGAACCATTACATTCATGCGCTTCAACTACTTGCTAACAGATACAGCAGCATCGTCTTCATCTGTTTCGTGAAGTCTCTTCTATGGTGAAGTGAGTAATGAAGTAGTTTACTGGTTTGAATCCTATCACATTGCCTTCATCGACTGTCTCATAATAAGAAGATATAAAATTGTAGAACTGTGATCTCCTTCTTTTATAAGATATTGAAATTTAGTGTCAGTATATATATTGGTAGTTTTTAAGTATGCAATTCTAATGTTATCCTCTTTTAGAGTTTCAGAATTATAAAGTATCTTCCTTTATGAATTGGGATTGGTTGTGAGTGTAGAAATCATGATTTGATGTCCCGTGCACCTGATTTCTGAGACTTGTATATTGGCAAGATCGATAACTTTGTGTATGTGTACTGCATTGAGCTATTTGCTTTATAGTACCTTTCCCTGAGTTAGTATGTCTTGTTCTGAACAGGTCGTGATGGCGATGAGAACCCAAGGAGGGGATGAGGCGGTACTTCAGATCCTGAACCGTACCCGTGAACTTTACAAGCGTAGAATCCAAGAAACAACTAGTATGGATCAACTGGCTTCTATATTTGCAGAGTGTGCCATTACAGAAGCACAGCCTCTTGGGCATGAGTCAACATCGAAAGACTCATTTGGTACCAAAGAAACAGTTACAGCAGATGCTCATGGCATATCTATTCTGGAAAAAAGCGGGAGGTCACAGATCATGCTCGATGCCTTTGCTGATGGAAGCAGCTTTATCTGTCTGCAATGCGGTGGTCTGGTGAGCATCCATAGGAGAGATGAACACTATGCTTACTGGTGTAGCAGTATGTAATACAACGATGTTATGTTGTTGACCATGACAAGAGAAACTGCAGCATACTGCCTTTGCTGTACTATTTTGGTGTTAATGATTGTTGATGCAATGGGAGATGCATATAACGCGTAAAAATTGTCTTAACCTTGTAATGCTTCTTGTGCTTAGTAAAACACTTACGATATTGTATCATGTCATGTCACCCTCATCGTTCTTTGTGTCTTGCTCTTTTTTCATGTCTCAATCTTAGTTCTTAAGCTAAGATGCACTACTGTGTTTGTCAACTTGTGAGATTTGGGACAAAACTAGACACTAAACAAATGTTTTCTCATTTACAACAAGCCAAAGAACAAATAAAACTTTGTATCATTCATACAAATATCTGCAACTTAGGACGAGGTTTATTTCCTCCATGAACTCCTTTAGTGATGTGTATAAGATGTCACTTCTATCAACATGAAAAGAACAATCAGACTCCTAGAAAGACGTCAACTATATCTGTTAGCTACAGGCGACAGCAAGCGATGGACAGCACCTGCCGCTCGTCCTGATCGGTCTCCTTAATACCGTAGACACGCCCAATAACGAGGTTCCCAATATCACACAAAACCTTAAGAGATTTCCTCCCAAATAAAAGACGGCAGCAAAGCCTACTCTCTGTCATGCATGATTCGGTCTTCGTTAGAAAAGATAAGGATATGCTCTCCAAGTTTCTTAAATAATAATAGAAAGATATGGTACCTGCACCCATTTGTATGATCCTTTCCATTAAAGTATCATACTCACAAGTAGAGAGAGCTTGGACACTAAAAGATTCTCTCAGAAAACGGCAAGCAACTAGATCACATGATCTTATTCGGCAGAGCCTTGTGTCGTGGTTTTGCCCTGAGTAGTGTTTCATCACTGTGCCTAATCCACTCAGAGAGTCTCCATGGCTTTTGCCACTTCCATTTAAATTGAACAATCCACTGGTGATGACTTCTCTTCCACCTCCAAAGTTTCCCACCTTGTTTTCCTACGGCTGATAGTTTTCTCATTGATACTTGTCCCATTGGTACCATCTGCACCAACCAATAGTACACATGACTCTTATACAACTGTAAAGAAGCTTGACTTTACAGCTTTTTATAGGGAAGCACTGTAAAATGAATTTAACCTTCTTGTTTGTATCAATAAATGCAGCCGGCCCTCTCATTTTTCCGTTAGCAATCCCCGGTGTAAATCTGAGCTGTTTCTGCGCTGGCACGGTCATTGGAGAAGATGTGCTCCTGTCTTCAGCTAATTCTTTAACTGAACTCGGTGGTGTTCCCTATACCAACATTTTATTTCTCAAGCGTTAGTATTGCTAACCAAAACTAAAGTACATAAAAAATTGACAAAATAAGAAAGGTGTTATAATCTTTACCAAAGTTGCAACTGCTTGCTCCCTCAATTTTAACTCCTTTTCTGCTTCTTTCCTTCTTAACTCACTCTGCCTTAAAAGGCCAACAATTTCTTTGAACTGATCTTTCATTTCTTTTATTTCTACATCTTTCTCCCATAATTGACACCTTAATAAGAAAAAGAAACAATCGGAGATTAGCTTGAATGCTGAAAACGATTTTCTTGAATGTTGGTATGCCACTTTATATACTCAAGGCACCTTGTTTCTGCAAGAGAGTTGAACATATATTGAAGCAAATTCTTTGCCTCTCCCATTGATCGTAGCTGGTTCCAGCGGCCACGGTTTGTAAAGGCACGCTCCCGTTCTTCTGCCTCGGAAAGTTGTGACGCCATTGCTACCAGAGAATTAGAAGATATACCGAGCATGTTCTCAAGTGAAGATATTCGGGCCATCCTTGCATTAGGTGATAACGATGAAGCCCTGAACCAAAATTCGTTAGTAAGGACGACAGGGAAAACTATATAAAGCAATGAAAATTCATGAAGAAGTACCTAGCAAAGCCATTCTTTCCTCTTGGAGGACTTAACCCTTTCTCTGCAAACTCATCCACTTGTCTTAAAACAGCCAACTCTTCCGCTAGAGCAGCACGTCTGAAATTATCGTCATACGCATAATCAGTAACCAAAAAAACCAAAAAGATAATGGTCATTGTGATGCTAAAATTATTGCAGAGCTAAAATGCATTCGGGACATACACATGGCTTTGTTTCTCGTACTCATGACGTACTTCATGCACATTCACCATGACTTCCAACTCATGATCAAGCCATCGCTGCAACGATTTCTCATTGGTCTACAAGAGTATGAATTTAAATCAGACTTTTCAAGAATCACAATGATACAAACTACACAAGATAAAGAAAAATAGTACTGTGTTAAAACCTGTACCTGACCATTTGTTCCAAAGCCATTTGTACCAGCTGCATATATATATTTTTACTTAGAATATCATACACATAACAATAACTAGCTTATTTATCGAAATGCGATGATAACTCCTGCATGAGCTAAGATATCTATGCAACCAGCTCCATGCATTAACTACTTTAGGTACAATTTCCAACAGACTATGAAAATGTATTAAAAACAATCAAATAACTACTCAGTGAATGGTTTCATTTATGTGTTCAAGTGTTTTACTATTGCCCAAACAACAGAACACAAAATCATACCTGCGTGTTCGCGAGGAGATGATTTCCGAGCTTCCAATAACTCTTTCAACCTTTTAGTAGCCATTGCAGCCTCTTCAGTCTTCCTCTGAAGAACCTGAGAGTGGAAAATTTCAAATTTCACAACTGATTTTTTTTTTTTTTTTGTTCCTCATTGGTCTTCCAGATATAATGGCAAATACTTAAGGTTCAAGCTAATAAAATTACATGATAACAATCTTGTGCTTACCATTTTCTGACGTTGATTTAACGCTTGTAGCTTATGCCTTTCATACTCGCTCTTTCTCCCTTCTTTCCTCAACTGTAAGAAGTTTAAATTTTAGGTAAATATAGAATCATCATTTGAGAAAATACATATTTTGTCAGAAGATATCAATTCAAGAAAAAGTAAAGGTACCTGCAAAAGTTCCTTCTCCCGGGAGGCTTTCCACTGTCTAAACTGTTCTGCTTCTTGTTTCATTCTATGTTGCAGCTGAACCTAGAAAGACAAAAGGAAGAGAATCAAACTAATGCACTTTCAAAGAGAAGATGTGACATGAGTCTATAAGCATGACTTGAAAAAAGTTTAGGGATGCATTTGCAGAGTAAACCAAAAAAAAATGTTATTATATGTATACCTTTTGTGCCTTGATGGATTGGATTTCATCTTGTAACCTCCGAGCCGCATCATCACTCTTTTGTTTCTGCTTCAGTAGCTGAACCTGGTTCTCTTGCTTTTTCTTGAGATCTAGAATCTGTGCTTCAAGTGCTTTTAAGTTCTGAGCATGCACATCTTGCAACTTCTGTGCTTGACCATCAGAAGCAAGGTTCTCAATTTCAGCCAAGAGACGGTTTCGCTCTTCCTGAAAAACAAATCAACAACTCATAATATGTTATAATTTAATGAAACATTCAAAATGAAAATCTAAGCACCAATGCAAAATGATACTCCACCTGAACAGATCTCTTTTCATCCTCCACTTCTGCAATTTTCTTTCCAAAATGTTGCTTTAGTGCAGCAGGATCATAGCCGTCAAAAAGCTTCATTTCCGACTGTTTTCACACACCGATTTAAGCAATTATAGACACGAGCAAATCTCTATATGCCAAAAGGAAACCACCTACAACATTCTAGTGGATAAGTAAAAAGTAAAAGAGACCTCTTTTTCCTCTAGCCGGCGGTTCAGTTCATGCAACTCTTTGTCCATACTATTTTGCAAGAGTTTGTGCTCCCACTCCTTTGCCTCTTCATCTATTTCCCTTGTATCACCTGCATATAATAAAAGCTCTTGTCTTGAATAACATATCATCTTTTAGGAAAAAGACTCTTTTCCACCTGTAACTAGTTATGTTTCTTATACCTGTTGTGGCTTCAACCATGGGATAATTTGAGGACTCTATACTGTGTAAGCTCCTTTTCAGCCCATCTGGTCTTACAGAACCAACAATATCATCCTGCCACCAAATAATTACATGTCATAATAGGATCTAGCATAAATAGTATGTCTTTAAAGTCTTTTAGTTATATTAGTTAGATTATTACAGCTCGTATGTCTTTAAAGTCTTTTTCAGAATGCTCTACACCAGGACATCTGCTACGGTACTCATGAAGTTCACGGCAAAGGTCTTCGTTAGCAGTTTCAAGCCACGCAATCCTTTCCTTAAGAATCTACAACATCATCATACCAACTCTTAAAACTACTGGAACACCACAAGTAAATCTAGATTACTAAGGTTAACATACCTGGATTTCTGCACATGAGGATCCTCCAGTTCGTAAAGAGAGCTCTGCTTGCAAGTATTCTACCTGTTGGCGCATTTTTAGCATCTCACTGGAGACAGGATCTCTATTAACCTGTTTTTTTGAAAAGTCATAACATAGGAAGAGAAAATTAGAGTAACTAGTTACAGTCAATGATTAGTTTCTTTTGGTTAGCATAATCGAATAGCTTACAACAGGTTTATTCCGGATGTTTCGAGCACGGTTTGCATATTTTAAAGTGTTAAGTGTTTCCTCTGCGTTAATATCTGCAGGACTGATGCAAGCTGGAACCAGCAAGGATAGAGAAATTGAACAGGCATTAACCAAACTTGAAAGGAATTAAAGCAGAACTTCAGCAGAAAATAAGAATTATAAAACTTGCAGCTTACCTATCATCACAGTTCTGCTATTACCCCCAAGTGAATCCTAAGAAAGTAACATTCACAACTTTTGAGAATGGAGCAAACATTGAAACAATGTGACATGAAGAAAACTGAAAACAAACATACCTGAAGAAGCCGTGTAAGTTTACTGTCTCGGTAAGGAACATGGGCACCATCTTTACGCTTTTTCTCATCACCGAGGGCACTGATGACATTACCGAGTGCAAGGAGACCTTTATTTATGTGAACTCCTGGTGAAAAGAATCAACTTCCATTACAGCACAGTGATGAAAAAGCTTAGTTTCTAGTTCTTGAAAAGAACACATACCTTCCTTAAATCTCAAACCATCAGAACCAGTTCTTTTAGCTCGTTCTGAACCAGCAAGGTCTACTAGGTGCAACTTGGCACACAAATATTCTTCTTTCAAGCTCCCATTGTAACCACCATTTTCAGGAGAATCTGTGTTAATT